AATATTAACAAACGCTTTATTTTTCAAGTGCTTTCTAATATTCTGCCTTCAAACTAAAAGTGAATATTACGTATACGACATGTGGACTCATCTGCTCAACAAAAGTTTAATAAAAGCAAAGGAAATTTAAACACGTCTCCCACTATGATGATTTATGCTTTAAGTCCAGGTGGGACAGGTAAGCAAAATGGCATAAACTTTCTCGAAAAGTTATGTGTGCTCTTTCCATATGCAAAACTTTCTTATATACATTTGGTACATTTTGTTTACAGTTTCTATAAATAGAAATTAAACGAACCCTCTTTGTTATCTCTTTGAAGGGGTTTTTGTATTTCCTTTGAAACAATATTTATATTATTATTAAATTTACTTTAGTTTTAAAAGCCTTATTAAAGGATATGTAAGCCATAACCGAAGCCTTGCTATCACTTACGTGTGTGCTCTTTGTTAGCTTTGAAAGGCTTTTGTCTTACATTAGTGTGAGAAGCTAACTTTTATTATTATAAACCCGACTATGCCATAAATAATCAATAATCTCTTTATAAGATATATAAACCCCCATTACGTTGACTACAATTTTCAAGAGTTTTCGATTAGTGTAGCCCCTGAATACCTGCTACTCTCCGCTATCCCTGGCCGTTGGGTGCCTTGTACATTTCCCAAATTAACCTGGCCGAAAAGCAGCCAACACGCACACGCACCCAAACGAGAGGCGTTAGTTTAAGGGGGGGGTAAGGTATTTAATTTTTTTTTTCGTAAATTTTTTTTTATTTTTTATTTTTAAAGTTTAACATCTTAAGAATATTGTGTCCAAGTTTTACATCGATCAGAGTGAAATTGACGAAGTTATGTGGATTTGAACGAAGGTCGGTTGGTGTTCAATGCATGGGAATCACAAAGTTTAAAGCGCTCTCCTGAAAAATTCAATTTTTCAAATCGGTGTACACGATTACAGAAAAACTACTGGACCGATCGATTTGAAATTTGGCACACACATTCTTTAACTAATTCCTCAGGTATTCACGTCGGCCTTTTTTTAATTTTTAATTTTTATATATTTTTAAATTAAGAAATAACGTTTTTTTTTTAGTCAAAAATCGGGTTTTTGACTTTCAAATTTCCTAAAAAATCACAAAAAAACTTAAAAAAAAAAAACGCTTCGTGAATACCTCGGGACACTTATCCTTTAACGAATGAGGTATAATTTTTTTAGATCGGATGATCCTGCGGACTGTTAGGATGTACACCGCAAAACCTATAACTTCTCTACCTCTAACTATTTTTCAATACAAAATTTATCAAAAATTATTCAAATGTTGTGTTATTATATGGTATTTAATTCATTAAGCTAACATTAGCCTTTCCGCCACAATAATTTTTTGAAAAGTGGCCTTTTTTGCACCGAATTAACCTTACCCCCCCCTTAAGCGGCTTGCGTGTTTGACAACCGCCGTGCATACATATGTGTGGGTATGTGTGTTAACCATTTCTATTGCCTATTTCTGTGGGCGTGAGCCGCACGCAGACACACAGACGGCAGGCGGCCACGCGTCTGTGAGTGTCACGTTTCGCTAGCCGAAAACATCCGTTGTGAGTGGCATACGCAAAATACGAGGGGCCAAGCAAAACAAAACGAAAACCAGGCCAAAAAGACACACTATACGCATAAATATATAGTATAAATAACATGGTCAATGACTTCATTTGGATAGATTTCAGGCCATTGAAATCCGTTTATTTGCGCCAAACAATCAAATGGAGAACGTTCGGTTCTGTTTTTGCAGCCGTAAAATTCAATTGCCCGCCAGCCATATGTCTAATTATGGCACACATTCAATGGGGACCAGCAAACAGTAACAAGAAAACAGTAACCAATAACCAGTAACCAGTAACCCGTAACCCGTAAACCGTAACCCGTAGCCAGTAAACCCGCAACCCGTAACCAAAGTAACCAGAGAGCAGCCAGAGAAAGCGGGTGTAAACCCAATTGGCAGCCTCGCTGGACATGTAAAACTCAATTACGCGGTTGCAGTTGCCTTTCCGCCAGCAACACGTATGCGATTCTCCGTTCTACGGTTCCTGCCGCTGACATTTCCGTCAGCCAGCCACTTGGTGGCCATAATGTGCGGCCAGTGAAACCAGGACTCAACCGCAATGCACGCGCAGAAATACAGCCTTAAACGATGAATGAATGGAGCTGGTAAAAGGGGAATCATTGGATTGAGACGTGCTGTAGATTAAGTAAAATAAAATGGGAAGAACAGAACAATAAAACGTTAAATATCTGGCAAACCAAAAAAGGCAACTGATGAAGATGTTTTGCCATAACTTTTTGAATTATAAGCCAGAACAGAACCTAATAAATGTCAAGAGACCGTACGTATGTATATAATACGAAAATGATGTCATTTACTATCAAAAAAGCATTTACCTCTTCAAAAAGTGTCACTTAAATTTGAAAAACAATTAGAAAGTATGTTGAAGTTTGTATACCCTTGAAATTTGGAATTGGGTCATAGAACGAATATGAAATCTATCATAACTAAGCCAAAAAAGCATTAAATTTGATTCGGAAAGGTTTTCTATGTTAGTTTTTAACAGGCTAATAAATCTCTATCCTAAATTAAAAATTTTATTTTTGCCAATTTTTTGACAATTTTGACGATGTAACCCCTTATAGAATTTTCAAAAAAAAAAAGTACCAAATTTTTTCTCCCGGTCATGCCTAGTTTGACTCCCCTGTTGATGCTGATCAAGAATATATATGATTTATAGGATCGGAAATGACTCCTTTACCGTATAGCAAGCATATGACTCAAATTACCCTACAAGACTATAAAAATATACAATTAAATTTTCATTTGAAATTCACCATTATTTCGCTTTTGTGTAGCACTAGGACTAGCAACAGCAGCAAAAACGCACCGCAGAAGCAACGTCATCAGCAGCAGCACAGAAGCAACATGAAAAGCAATGGCGCTGCCTTGTTCGCCATCTTTGCTCTGCGGCAGCTACTGGCGCTGACTTGGCTAACATTCTGCGGCTTGTACTTGTAAGCCAGAGAAACGACAAGGAGCCCAAAACCCGGACCCAGAGCTGATAATGATAATGATGATGACGCCTGGCTCTGGAACATTTACCAAATCAATTTAGGACATGCGGGTGGTCCTGGCCTCGCAAAAATATCACAAATGGAAATTGGCTTTTAAAGTTTCCAGTTTTTCAACGATATATAGGACTGGGGGATTCACCGAACAAAAAAAAAATATGTTGCCTAACCCCAGGCGCTTCGCTTAATGACTCAACTGCCTGTGCAAAACTGATGATGCTGTCGTTTTGTACGGTTTGTTTGCCTTTGTCAACTGAACTGTTGTTTGGTTAAATAAAAAGGAAACTCATTACCCCAAACTCCAGCACAATGACGTCAGGCATGGGCTGCCACTGCCACGCCCCCTCTAAATGTTTGTGCATTCGGGCAGGCAGTGTGATTATTTGCATGCACTGTGCACTGCGCTGAGCAAACAATGGCCAATGAAGACGGAAAAGGGGAAACGAACCGTTATTGCCACACAATCTCGGTGTGCAAATATTTGGTCTGTATAAAAAATCGCACTTCCACAAACACAAACGAAAAGTACATACAATTTTTCGGCAAAAGGGGGAAGAGCAAAGTGGGAGGAGATCCAAGCCCCATTTATTGATTTCATTTTAAAAAAAATATACAAAAATCTGCAGCTGGCTTTTAAGCAATGGAAAAGAAACAATCACAGCGTCTCTCTCTGTAACTTTTCCACATGGAATTTTGTGCATCGTAAGCGGATTTTAATTCATTGAGTTTGGTATCTTGATTATTTATGTGATTTATAGTTTTACTTGCAAAAAATAATTGTATGAAGCTATGTTTAAAATATAGAAATATTTATGTATAAAATTTATTAATAATATAAAATTATAGAAAAAGGAAAGACCTTCTACCGATATGTCAAGAGAAGTTGAGGCCAAGATCAATTAATTTAAGTAAAATATAAAGAAATATCTATAATATTTCCTCTTATCATAATTAATAAATAAGAAACTCTTTACATCTTAATTAAACTAACTTTTTACTTTATATTTTACAAACCTAATTTAATAATGCATTTCCCTTTAATATTTATTTTCCGTGCAAACTTATGAGCCGAGATCAAGGCCTGGGCAGTAACCATAATAAATTTATAACAAATGACATTGGGCAGCCAAATAAATGGGGACCTATTAGTCCGAGGCTGGGCCACAGGCACTGACCATTTAAGCAACTGAATGCCAATTGAACGCACACACACACACACACACTCGAGCAGGAAGGCAGAAGGATGTGGCAGGACGACGACGGGCATGAGCATGAAATATTATTTCCTCGAGAGAACGGAACGGGAAGTCCGTGGTAATGGGAAGATGTATAAATAGTTTGATTTAGTGCCGCTGCAGCAGCAGCAAAAACCAACGAATGGAGGAGAAACCGCAAGGACACGGCCTGATAACAAGGGCTCCACCGATCAATTATTGCCCCCATGACGGCTTCTGGCATGTAAACAAGCCCGGGAACGTGCCATTAATTAGTTTCAATCAAATAATGCCGAGAGACCGCCACAGCGGAGTCACACATATAGGATAAATCAGTTGGACACATGTATAAATTACGCCACTGCTTGGGAAAGTGAACTCCTTCAAGCCGGAAAGGTTGCTTTACGGCTATTAAAGTGACAATTTACGCACCGACAGGTTCTTGCGGCATATGCACAAGCCATTAATGGCAGCGTGTGACTACGAATCCCGCAGACATCATACATATGACCATAAAATCCCACATAATAAAGGGTTCAGTTCAAAGCAGTTAAAGTGTCTTTAGGGCCCGTAAAATCGCTTTTTTTACGGCTCCAGAGCAACATTGTGAATGTAAACAAGGCTTCGGGGTTGATTAGCGGACTGGTCGAGCTTATCGAGCGATTCACCCGGTTATATTCTGTATAATTCTTGCATTTATTGTTGTATTTCAATGGAGAACTAAGTTGGCCTGCATACGGTATAGTATATGTATAATCAATGCAATATTCTTCACAATCTATCTTCCAGGCGCAGTCGCCGCTATTTGTATGTTTAGGTGTGAGTTGGTTTATGTGTTTATGTGTTGCCAGTTTCGTGCCTAGCATTATCGCGATCTCTAGTGTGTAGTCTCAATTATGATTTCGTGCGTATCCAGATCGGGCACGGCGAATTTCATGGGCAAATAATCGTCGGGATGCATGTGAGACATCTGGTTCACCTCCAGCTGGGCCCGTTCGTGGTCCTCATGGCACTTGCTCTCGTGCTTCTCGTAGTCGGCGAACGTATCGAAGATGGCCCGACACACCATACACTCGAAAAAGCTTCTGTAAAGTAGAAATTGTGGTTATTTAATGAATCATCATCAGCTTGAGGTAGGTCTCCACTGAGGGAACCATCAACAAATACTCACGGTTTCTGCTCCGCCTCGAGCCGCTCCCTGGCCAAGGCGGCCGCCGCCTGGATAGAGGCGGCCACATCCACATCAACGCCCTCCTTGATGTGCGACTGCAGGTGGCGCTTGAAGTTGGACAGCTGGGTGAAGCCCTTCTCGCAGTAATTGCACTGATAGGGCTTGGCGTTGAGGTGGCCCAGCTTGTGCTTCTTGAGGTTGACCAGCTGGGAGAAGTACCTGCCACATCGCTGGCAGCGGAACGGCTTCTCGCCGGTGTGTGTCATCTTGTGGCGCTTCATGTTGCTCTGCTGCGTGAAGGACTTGTTGCAGAAATTACAGGTGAACGGTCGCTCGCCACTGTGGACCGCATAGTGACGCTGGAGGTTTACAGCCTGGGCAAAGGCCTTAGAACAGATATTACACACAAAGGGCCGGACATCATTGTGCACCTTCATGTGCCGATCGAGGTTGCCCGAGTTGCAGAAGCTCTTGGCGCACAGCTTGCACTCGTAAGTGGTCTTGTTGTGGTTGTGCACCTCCTGCCGATGCAGCGTCTGGTCCCGCTTACTCTTGAAGGTCTGCAAGGGAGGATTACCGGGTTAATCGGGGCAAAAAGTGGGCCGTCGCCAGAGACTTACGCGGTCGCAGCGCTTGCAGCTGAACTGATTGGCCACGGTATCATCGAATTCTACCTCCATGCCCGCCATGCTGGCTACCACATCGATGCGATCCTACAAAGGGTTCATTCCCTACAATGGGTTTATTGGGTAATTGCTTCCCTAGACCAATAACTCACTTTGATTAACTAATTCTGTAATTCTGTAATTTTTCGCGTCTAGAAAAAGTCATATGGTGGCCTAGAGTGCCCAGAGACTGAGAGGGAAAATACCACAAATATACTAAGGGAAAGCAAAATACCGCAGGTAAAGCCAGTTGGGAAGCTGTTTTAAAATGAGGAATCTATTGAATGGAATTAATTTTTTTTTAGTGTTTACTCATATTTTCTTGTTGGCATTCAAATAAAAAATCAAAGTAATCCAGTTAGAAATTAACCGCGTAGAGTGGCAGCGCCAATTTGTAATCGATTTAAGTGTGACCAGCTGCTGCGGAAGGCGAAATCCGGTCATCTAAATAAACATCGATGTATCGCCTTCTAGTAACAATAAAAATAAATAAAATAGAAATAATTTCGGAAAAGTTCGTTTGTTTACCGCCATGGCCACCTACTCCAACCAGCACTGGTTGCTCTCCCACATCCGGAACTCGTTCATCTCCACGGACGACACGGGCATGTGCGAGACTGTGATGCTGAGCGACGACATGCCAAAGCACTATTTACGCAAATACGGGAATTCCGGAGCTGGCGGGGATCACGGCCACAGGCGGCCACAGAAGCCACCGCCCGGCGATGCAGGGCCGGCGACGACGACGACGTTCGAGCAACGGAACATCCGACAGGCTGATCAGCCGTTCCAGGATGTGGACTTTATATGTTACCCGGGACTGGACCTCAGCGACGACGAGGAAGACCAGTCCACACACTCCTTTGACATCCAGATGTACCCCGAGGTGGGTGCCCATCGCTTTCGCTCCAACACTGCCCAGAAGCTGGAGAAGCTAGACATCGCCAAGCGCAGGGCGGCGCGCATCAAAAGTATAAACTACCAGGAGCAGGTGCAGCCGCCCGAAAGCGAGGATTTCTTCAAGCGCAAGGAGGTGCCACAGTCTGCTAAGAAGTCAGCCAATAGCAACGAGGACGAGCTGTCGGACGGCGGCTTCCAGAGCCAGCTCACCGAGCAGCTGGCCAAGAGTCCCAAGCAGACGCAGAACCGCTTCATTGACTTTGCCCGCTTCGACGGCACCTCGCAGGTGGGCATGCAGACGAAGCGCATCAACGTGTATCTGAACATGCTTCCCGAGCCGGATCGCAACTATCCGCTGAAGATCTGCGTCCTAGCCACTGCCAAAATCCAGGAGGTGATTGGTTTCGTCTGCTACAAGACCTCCCTCCAGTACCCAGATGTTCCTTTGAAGTCCCTGCAGCACTACGCCCTGTACATGACAGAGGACAACGACGACATGGAGGATTTCCCTCCGTTGGACAATCGCGAGCCCTGCTCCAAATTCGGCTTCTCTCACCTCACCCTGGCGGAACGTCGTCCACTGGCCCCGGTGACGAGAGTGGACTATCACGGCCAGCTGGGCACCAAATCCATGACTTCCGAGGAGGACAAGACAGCGCTGGCCGAGGCGGCGGTCAAGGCTCTGCAGAATATCAACCTGAATGGAGGGACAACCGATCCGGGAGGAGCGGGCGGAGGAGCAGCCGGCGGGGGAGGAGGAGCAACAGCAGGAGCAGGAGACGACAGCCCAAACGACAATGTTAAGGAGTACGAGAAGCGCCTGCTCAACCACAACGAAATGTTGGAGGCGCCCATGCATCGCACCTTCCGGCTGAACATCATCGACAAGCGCTTCTTCAAATCCGACGTGGTCTTGGGCATCTCCGGCGAGAGAATAGAGATCGATCAGTACAAGAACGCCAAGTTCTGGCCGCAAAAGAAGCCCGTTTCCACGTCCATTGATTTGGTGGCTCACTGCGAGATTGTGGAGCGTCGCCAACTAAAGGCTCTCCTGCGCATCTGGCTAAAGTCCAACTCCTCCTCGCCTTCCTTTTCCACCGGCTGCACGTCGGCGCCTATTAATGCCAGCGTGACCACCCTAAACATGGGATCTTCCAGCGCCGGCATCGCCCACTCGCCGAGCAGTCCCGGCCACACGTCCGGCTTCTTCTCCAGCAGCAATATTCGCTTTAAGCACTACGACTTTGACACAGACACCCACACGGCGGACCAGATTCACAACAAGCTGAACTGCATCCTGGAGATGCGATCGAGCGAGCTGCGGCGCGAGTTCCTGCTGCAGCGGGAGCGCAAGCTAGAGAAGCGGCAGCTGAAGTTGTAGTATTTATTCCTATGGCGGCGGCTGCTGCTCGTGTGCCTAGCAGGCGGGCTACTGCCACTGCCACGCCCCCGCCTACACCGAAGCCCCCGCCACCGCCACCGCCTCCTGTTCGATAAGTTGTATTAGTTGCTAACTAAAGATTGTGTTACACAAATGTTTGCCTAGCCCGTAAGTATTTATTGAACTCACCCAAAATAAAAAAAAAAAAACTACAAAGCCTGGTCCTCAAAAAATAAAAGCAAAACAAATCCAAAATCGCTTTGTATCTTTGAAATGTATCTGCGGCTTTGGGCTTCCGCCTGGCAGAGAGCGGTTTCCAGGCGTTTTGCATGCGATTTGCACGCGACTTGGCCGCGTTTTCAGCCGCATTGTATCTGTCTCTCGATTTTATTTCCGCTCGCTCTCGACATTGCAATTGTTGTGCCTCTAATCAATGTGCAATTAATCTAACCGACGCCCCAGACGGGGACGGGCCTAACGGTGGCTGGTATTATAGCTATAGGTTTATTTTTAGCCTCGCACAATGTCAGCTGTGTGGAGTCGAGACTACTACTATAAGCTTAACTGCCGTTAGCCGATTGTTGCATGCGCATGCAGCTACAAACATACATTAGGCGGCTGTAACAAGCGATTGTAGCCGCCTGTTCTAAGGCCAAGGTTGACGACTCGAAATCACGCCAAAAAGCTCGCGACATCTGAGGCCATTCGACTGATGATGATGATGATGATGCTGTTGGCGTGACCAAATCGAGGCAAACTCTACACGATCCAAAGGCAAGTGAATCACTCTGACCTGGAGAGATTCCAGCAATTCCCCGAGGAAGTGGCTGAGACCTAGATTCTAGCTCCAGTACATGACTAACGCGATCTCAAATGGCCGATAAAAACGAAATATATAAAAGGAAAACGCCTTTTAACATGTACAATATGTCCAGCTTGCCTCGGGGTTAAATGATTTATGCCTAACTGGCACAGCCTTGGCAGAAACTCTGTATCCCATTCTTTGCAGAGACAAATTTGAATATCGCAGGCAATTTGTCAAATGCAGAGATATATATATGTTATATGCATTTATAGATAGATCGACAAGTGCGTTGCCTTCGGAATTGTGTGCTGTTCGTATCTATCTCTGCCGAGTGGCTGCATTTCACCGCCAACACAACATAATTATCAGCTAATTTGCCTAAGCGAATGCACCAGAGACAGCTTAATTTAGACAAGGATGCGCCGTGCGAGTGCGGCTAATTGAAAGTCAATAAATGCATTTCAGCGGCCGCCACAACCTTGACATTGAAAATGAATGACAAACAACGAAAAGTTCAACTCGATATGAAAGTTGCGCCGATGCTATATGCTATATGGTTTCATATATTATATGGTATATGTGGCATGTATCTGGGCACCTGGTAGGCGGGGCAAGAAACTCGGCACGCATGTGAGCGGATTTTCACTGAAAAACACACACACAAAAGTGAGCGGACCTCGGCCGTTGTCAATTTATCAATTGCATAAAATAATAGGCCTAGGCGCATAATTTAATGTCGCGTTTGTTTGCCATTTTCTGAAGGCCGTCGCACATACTTCATACTCACATGTGTATATACATATGTATCTTTTGGATTTGTATTCTATGCCTTTGCCTGCGCATGCAGATTGATCACTGGAAATTGCATTTTTTGCTTGAGTCACGCAACCGGAGTTCCAGTTCGATTCGCAGTTTATGATAGCCGAAAGATACGGCTGCTAAACTTCCAATTATTCGTACTTATGAGCAGTTCATAACCAGCATTAAGTTATCAGCGATCGATTGCTTTTTAGCCAACACTCTCAGTTAAATACACTTCCGTTTTCGCTGTGGGAATTTTAATGGCTCGCCGGAGAATTAATTGAGCTGTTGTTAGAAATTTATGGCATATTCCACAACGGTAACTTGCATGCTGCAAATTGCTAGAATAATTCTACGATCTCAGGCTCCCTTTCGGATTAAAGTTTTGTTATTTTTCTTTGGCTCAATTGGCTGGAAACAAACTTGCAGGCCATAAACGTTATGTTGGTCTTTTCATTATTATGGCCATTACATTTTGCACATACCAAAGACCCAGAAACCGGGGACCCGGAGACCAACCCACACGAAGACAGGCGTTGCCCCAATGCGTTGCACGCACCAAAAAATACAATAAAAAAAGCAACAAACAAAAAGTTTACAAAAATAAAACCAGAGACCCACAGCTCGCAAAACGCTAGCGATTTTAATTGCACAATTCGGGCGGATTGTGGATTGCGGATTTTTTTTTCTTTTGCGAAAAGTGCGAGGACCAGCCCCAGCACACACACAAAAAAAAAAAATAGTGTGTGTCACCTACAATTTGTTAAAGCGGCAATTTATTAATATCAATTGAATATAACTGAAAAATCCGGATTAAAATTATATAATCGTGAAATAGGATTGGATTCTATTGTAAAATTACAAGAGAAATGATTTAGTCTTAACCTTTTGTCTTTCAAATGGAATGAAATTGTCCAGAAAGTTTGTGCAACATCGTCCCAATGTTGCAAACAACATTTGCCCAGCTATATTTTTAAAGTTTTAAAACAATCTTATCTTATTTAAAGATAGCTTTGTTTCTTGTTCAAAAATAATTATAAAATTATGTATATTTCATATAGCTCTGTTAATTTTTTCTTCGCGTGCACCGCTTGTTCTCCGGTTTGCAAGACATTTGTAACCCAATTCTGTCGCTCGAGAAAGGAGGCATATATGCACTTTGCGATTTACATTTCGAATTCGGCGGTTACGGCGGCTTAATTAAAAGCGTGCTGCTGAATACCAAAAAATATGCTATATGTAACGCCAATCCTGGAGGTCAAAAGAGCGGTCTCCAACCTGTTGCATCTCCATCACCATCGCCATCTCCATCTCCCATATAGCCCTCGCCATGGACATCAGAATCGCGGGGCCAGTCGCCGGCGGCAACGATGTCTTCCTGCCTGCACCAACAAATCAATTGTGCTGGCATCAGCCTCTGCCAAGGTCGCTTCCTTAATGAAGTGCCGAAACCTGGGCTCGTTTCGTGGCAGGCACTTGACGTGGAACTGGTTTTTCGGGCACCGCTCTCAAGTGGATGCCACCGACAGGAGATGCAGGTGGTGATTGCAACGAAGCAGAGAGAGAAAAGTGTTACTTCAAAAGGGATTTTTAATGTGCTAAAGATATTAACATTTTTAAACTAAATTTAATATTTACAAAAAATGTGTATTATTTACTTTTTAAAGCTTAATTTATTAATGCTCTTAAAATACTGCCTAAAATCTAAGATCTGTAGGATAATATGTTCAGAAATCATTGTTTGTTATTTAAATATTTCTTAAGGATAATGTTTCTACTGTCCATAGGTTTTATAGTTAATATAGATCACTTTATTATAATATTATATTTTACAAAATATGAAAATTATTTTTTAAACTTTAAGTTCAAGTAACTTTTCTCGTTTTTTTTCATCTGTAAAAAAGCCAACTGAAGGTTGCACTGCCCTTGCTTTGAACCTGTTTTCCTGTCTGGTCTCTGCATCCCGATAAAAGGTTCTGAATTATGTAATACCCAGCTGGAGCCAGGGTTTGTGTGTGTATGGATTCTCATGACCCACTTTTCTGGCCATACAATTTGGCAGCCATAAATCCGTTTAGCCGGACGCACAGGATATGCACTCATAACTCATCAACGTCCACATAATACAAGGAATTAAAGGTAAGGCATAAAATAGCTACCTCACCTGGACGTGAGGTGAGGAAACTGATTGCCGATTGTCAGTCATGCAAACTAATGAGCTGAAAAACTGATTCCTGGCAACGTGATTAAAATCGCCAAAAAAAAAAATAAATTACTGAATATTTATTCAAAATGCAATTATGCGCAAGGAAAGCCCTCAAAATACTCCATTTCGAGTATATATCTCGACTGATCGGTGCTGACAGCTCTCCGTCGTCTTCCCACTCGAAAAAATTACTCTGGGGCGAAGCAGAAATTTTTCGCGTAGGCTCAACAGCATAGCGACGCGTGCAAAATGTCAACAGAAGGACAAACTTCAGCTAACAACAATTGCTAATGTGCGTCGATCACAAGCAGATCGATGGCCCTGAACGTCTATGCTGGGGCAAAAAAAAAAGTGCAAAAAGCAAATAAACGCTAAATAAAGGCAAATAAGTGCGTGAACAAAAGCCGGCGAGCAACAATGCAGCGAGCATAAGGCTTAAAAATTGGCTTTTAGAGGCAATTTGGCGAGGCAGCCTCCCTACCCTACCTCTACCCTACATACCCTCCCTTTTTTTTCTGTTTCTGCTGCTGTGACCTACCTCAAGTGTAGCCACTTCCTGGATTATTTCCAGCTTTGGGCCAGCAATCAAACGAGTTGGATTAATCGATCTTGGTGGACACGCCTCTCTTGGGCTCTTGGAGGCTGCCGAAAAAATCAAATCATAATTTTGATTTTTATTAAATAAATCATTTGCCATTTGCGGTTTGTTGTTTGTTGTTTGCTGTATTTGTTGCCCAGCTACCAGTCCATAAACAATAAAAACTCTTGATTTCTTATTGTTGTGTGCGCCAGTGTGTCTCTTACCGCAAGGTTGCAAGATCTCTGCCTTTTTTTCGCTATTCATTTATCTTATAGTATACATATATATTTTTTTCTTTTCGGCAAAGCAACATAATTTACTTGTTGGCAAATCAAATTGTAGGGGGAACACTGCGAAATGGTATGGAATGAAATGCTTGTCGTCAATTGGCAAATTAATGAGCGTTTGATGGCCAGTTGACCTTATGTCAAGTATACGCCATGTGGCCGCCGTGTGAGTGGCAGCAGCAACAGCAGCAGCAGCAGCATAGCACCTTGTAATTGGATTGCAAACGTTTGTTCTGGTTCTCCTTTCTTGTATAATTTTATCAGTTTGAGTAAACATTTGCCAATGAACAACGAAAGCGAAGCGAGGCAGCTGATGCAACTGAGGAGGCCCCTCTTTAAAAGGATTATTCTTTGCCATAATGCACATTTGCTGATATAATAACACAACAATACATAACGAGCGGCGCAAAAGCAAAAAGTCGAGAGAATGACGCAGCCCATGCGGTTGATTTCATGCAATATTGCACTTGAACTTGCACTTGACATGCAAATTGCCGATGCGATAACTGCCAATGCAATGAGGATTCCCTCGGCTAATGAGCAGCGTAAACATTCCGATTGGAGGGATTCATTTCACGCAGAAATAAGTGATTTAAATGATTCAATTTAGAGTGATCTTGTGATGGTTGCTAACCTTAATTTATTTTAACTAGATTATAATGTTATTCATGATTGATTTATACATTATTTTATATATTTATTTTTATAATTTTAAGTTCTTCTTTCTAACGAAATTCTAAATTCAAGAAATATTCACAAAATGACCTTGCTATGAACTGAATTTATGGTGGCTTCCCTTGCGTATACGTAATATTTTTAGTAATCAAAATAATTCAATAAAAATATGTGTTCCCTTTCTAGTTTGTCTTTAATTCTCTCAAAGAAGTTACCCAATTAATCGCTCCTTTCCGTGCAATATCGATATGTTCTAAGGCGGAACTGACCTGCAATTGATTGATCAGCTTCTCTGGGTTGTCAAGTGTGTAACCCTCAAATTGCAATTTGTTGTCGCTGCTAAAATGCAATTTCCTTCCTGTTTCCCCTCGGAGATAAACTGCTCGCTCTGGACGCTGCTGCTGCCTGCCTTGCTGGCTGGCAGTAATTGCGATTGCAATTCCGATTGCAATTGCATTGCACATTTGCAAATGTGTTTGCGATGTTTTTTTTTCTCACAAACGAGGTCACTAGACGAAAAGCACTTTCCCAATTTTCAGGCGATCAATGCAAATCGGAAGTGGCTCTCGCACAAGTGTTTGTGTCGAGAACATTTATACAAAAAAATTACAAAAAATCAGACAGCTTAACAAACTCACAGATACATTAAGCTAATTATAATTATTAAAATGTCTTCAAAGTTGTTGTTTTTAGTATTGATAATATTGGTGTTTCTAATGTTGCAACTCTGAATATTGCTTATCTTGATGTTGTTACTTCTAATGTTGCATAAAAATAAAACTAAAATTCTAATATATTTAAAAATTTCCATATATGTACCTGAGTAGATGAATAAATGTTTTGAAAAACAGCAAAATCTGTAATATTTGTTCTAAAAATGTTGTGATCATTCATATGTCAGCTATATAGTTGCTTTACTTTCATACAATTTAACAGAGCTTCTTCTGAAAATATTCTATAAACTAGTTAATGCTATTTTTTGATCTGATAGTTCCTATGGCAGCTATATGATATAGTCCTTCGATCTCTCCAGTTAAATACTAATGGGTATAGAAAAATCTTTATTCATTAGCTCAAAACACAAATAGTTTCCGTAGAAACGGACAGACAGACAAACGGACATGGCTAGATAGCCTCGGCTTATGTTGCTCCTGTGGATTGAGCCTTTTGCTGCTGTATTTGCTGTTGCTTTGTTGTTGTTGCCAACGCAACAAGTTTCGTGTGTGTTGCCAATAAGTTGTCGCAGTCGACGTCGCTGCTCTCTCTCTCTCTCTCTCTCTGTCGCCCGCTGCCTCGTGTTGTTGCTATTGGCACTGTGTGTTGTTTGTTGTTATTATCGTGCGTACTTGGACCGCTCAATAACGCTCGTTGGTTGTCGCTGCCTCGGTCGACGCCGCTGCCGCCGGCCGCCTGCCTGCCTGTAAACACGAAAAAAGAGGCAGAAAATAAATGTAAAAAAAAAGCATAAATGGAAACGAAAGCAGAGGGTATTTAACCGACCTCAAATCAATTTGCAATTTCAGTCGATCTCCGCGTTGCAGCGTTGCATGAACTCAATTCAGTCGCGTGCTTGAAACAGAAAGTTCAACTCACCCTACTTTGTGTATTTAACTTTACACTTCGGAAAAAAGCAATAAAAAGCCTTACGGAAATAGTTAGGAAACGGGCAACAACAACAACAACTAAAACAGCAACTTGAACTCAAAACTAAAAACTCAAAAATCACAAAAAACGAAACGCCATCGAAATCGTTAATTGAACTCTTATTTTATTTATCAACTTTTGCCGAAAACGGTGTCAAGCGCGGCCTAGAAAAAGATATAAAACTAAGGTGACGAAAAAGTCGTCCCAAAAGAAATTAAATTCCAAGCACGTTGCAGACAAAATTACGCAAACAAAACGGGAAAAAACTAAAAACTAAACCCAACTGCAGCAGCAACTACAATTTGAACAGCTGACGACGTTCGATGAACGTTTCGGGTTACACAAATGCAGGCAAAGCTCTTGGCTAACTCCCATCCGAGGTAAAGTGCGGCGGCGGAGAGCTTTTCCCCCCTTCCAGCTGAACTTGAAAGTGAAAGTGAAGAAAGAGGGGAAACCCCCGTCAAAGAGCAAAAGAAAGAAAGAAAGAAGAAATAAGAGACCAAGGCTTGAGCCACGTTTTTCGTTTTTTTACTGTTGCCGCTTTTGCTGGAGTGTCCAAAAACCTCTCAGAGCATCAGCCAAGGTCGTCTGGATAAGTTAGGCTTGTAAATATCGACATGAATAACGCCAAGGATCAGGAGCAGGATCAGAAACAGGAGGTGTACGAGGTAAAAGCCCCACATGCGGGAGCCGAGGGTCACACCTTTCTAGTAAGTCCTGTGGATCCCACACCCATCCTACAGCCCATACTCACCGCTGTGCCTGTGATGAAGCCCAGGGATTCGGCTCCAGCGATGGGGAAACCTCGACAGGAAATGGAAGAAGATAAGGAGGAGCTGCCCTGCTGCAGCTCCCAGGCTGTGGTGCCGCTCTCCTCATCGCTGCCCTCCAAGCTGCTGCGTTTCCATGCCAAGCGTTCGGCCCAGGCTCTGCTCCATCAAATGGAATCCCTGGACTCCCAGCTGGGCAGCAGCAATGGCAGCTCCTCGGAGGACACTTCGCCCAGTGCGCCACCCATGTCGCCCACAGATCATCAGCTAGTGGACGTAGGCATGGGCTCTTCCATAGGCGACTCTGAAGAGTCCTCGGAGGAGGGAGACGAACTGAAACCCCTGGCCGTAGACAATCACATCATGCACGAGGTGGACCTCAACGAACGACAGAACTCACCTCCAGCGGTGCTGAGTGAGGCCAATTTGGAGAAGTTCCGCAAGCACCAGATGGACAACATCTATCTGCATCCCAACTTCAGTCTAGATGCCTCGCCGCCGCCAGCTGTGGCTCCAGCCAACTCACCTGTGCTGGAGGCTAAGCGGACGCATCGCTCGTTCCTGGCCCTCAAAAAGGAAAAGGAAGAGGAGCAACCGAAGGAGTTGGAGCACCATCATCACCCAGAGCGGGAGCTAGCCAGTCCCCAGGAACCAAATGAGATAGACAGCCTGGATCCTTCACTAATTCCCAGCGAGGAACTGGCCGCCGAGATCACCGAGGCCGTGGAGTTCTATTTCTCCAACGAGAGCATTCTCAAGGACGCCTTCCTTCTCAAGCACGTGCGCCGCAACAAGGAGGGCTTTGTGAGCCTCAAGTTGGTGTCCAGTTTCAAGAGAGTTCGTCAATTAACCCGGGAGTGGAAGGTAGTGGGCGATGCTGTGCGTCGCAAGTCCCGCAAGATCGAGCTCAATGATGTGGGCACTAAGGTGAGGAGGATTGATCCTTTGCCCAGTTTCGACGAGACCATGCCTTCGCGCACGATTGTGGCCTGTGACCTGCCCATGGATAAGCTGACAATTGAAAAGGTCTCGGATTTGTTCTCCCGCTGTGGTGAGATTGCCCTGATCCGCATCTTGAAACCAGGAATGGCCATACCCGTGGATGTGCGTCAGTTCATGAACAAGTATCCCGAGCTGCAGCAGAAGGAGTGTGCCTTGGTGGAGTACTTGGAGTCCTCTTCCGCTAGGGAGGCTCTACATCTGAGTGGTCCCTTCCAGGTGTATGAGATGGTGGCGCCCAAGAAGAAGACCGGCAAGAAGGCGGCCGTCATCCAGATTGCCGCTCCAGTGGCCCGCATGGTGGAGAACTATCGCTACTACAATGATGCCAGCTACGAGAGGAGTCGCGGCGGCAGCTTCTCGGGCCACGAGACCGTTCCTGATCTGCGCTTCAAGCTGAAGAGGAACAACTCGGATTTCCAGCCGAACTACTACCAGCAGCAAATGGCGCCCAACTATCATGCCATGCCTTATCAGCCACAGCCGCACCAGCAGCACTTCCAGCCGCGTGGCAGCATTGGATCCGGTGGCATCCAGAACCAGGATCCCTCGGGTTTTTTCGGCTATGGTCCCAGGCGTTACAGCAACACATCCACAATCTCCGCCAACACGGCGGCTGCCTTGGCCGAATGCTCTCCTACGTCTGCTGCTGCAGTCGCTCCTAACTCTGGAGGCCATCCCATTAGCAATCTGCAAAGGCGTCTGTCCAACTGTTCCGAGCAGAACTACACACCCGAGGGAAATGCTTCCATGTCCAGGAGGGCCAGTAACTGCTCGGTAACCGATACAGGAGCTCCTCAGCGACGGGACTCCAACTGCTCGGAGAGTTGTCCTTGCTCGCGACGCGTTTCCGACTTTGGCCAGACACCAGCTGAGAATAGTTTCCGGAAGACCTCGGTGTGCTCCAATGGAAGTTGTCCCGGCAACCAGGGCCAGCAGGAGCGTCGCTTCTCCAACGGATCCATGCAGTTCGAGCGGACCTTCTCGAATGCCAGCGAGAACAGCGGCTTCTATCGTCGTCCTTCAAATGATTTCAATATTGAGAGGGAGCCCATCCAGACGGATCAGATGGTGGGTGGTGGCGGCGGTGGCTACCAGGTGTGGCCCCGCAGGTACTCCAATAACTTCCAGCAGCTGAGCAACAAGCTGGCGGCCTACGACAATGCCCAGTACATTGGCGGCAGGCGCATTTCCACGGACTCGGGCTACGATCGTCGCTATTCCTTTGGATCGGAGTTTGAAGGATCTCCCAGATCCCGAACTGGCAGCTTCCTGAGCAACTACAAGCATGGAGGAGATGGTTACGATGGACAGCCCAGATCTCGCACTGGCAGCTTCCTCGATGGCTCACCTCGCTCCCGCTCGGGATCCTTTGCCCAGCGGGCGGCCGAGAGCCTGGTGCGCACTCCCATGGGTCCGGATGGGAGCAAGGGCTTTGGCCAGCGGGCCAGGAAGTTTGGCCAGGCCATATCACCTGTCTAGAAGAAGATTGTAGAATTTTGTTGATTATTTATAGGGGGAAGATAAACATAAACTGTTATAGAACTCCGTTTAAAGCGGGTAATCGTATGTGAAATTAATGGCTGTACACTGTGATGCTGTCCAACTTGTTAAATGTCCCACAAACACACACACACATACACCCCTAGAGCAACTTAGGTTAGGAACAGAGAAACCTATATATTATCACTGAAATTTACAAGGGGTTTTTGTCAGGCTAATGTGGAACCTCAACTGCCCATTATTATATTTTTACATGCAACATAACTACAACAATCACTGCCAATAGCTTAAGTTTAAACAAAACTCTTGAAATCACTTATTAATTGGCTTGGTAGACGCATAAGATTATACTTAACTAATCAAAGTAATCAATATATACGATTGACCATTAACCAGTTGATAGTTTGTAGGTTTTATTAATCACCATTGTTATTATTATTATTGAAGTATAATTACTAGAAGTAGAGAGCGGGCCCAACTATATTCACAAAGTCTCACATGACTTCTAGAGTTCTTGTTATAGCTGCGTATGTCCTTATGATAATCCACTGCTGACTTATATGCAGGTTTATTAATGTTTTTTTTATTGCCAATAAAAGTTCGCAATTAGGTTAGACACACATATAGGATAGTCCAAAACCCATAAATCAAACGGCTGCCATAAAAATCAGATATATAGAAACGTGGCCATAGTTACCAGATGCAAATAATACGGATGTAATTGGAAGAAGGTGCGCCAGGGATCCAAGGAAAATTTTAATTAGAGTCTCAGGTCATTAGGTTTAACCCCAGCAGGTTCCACATTATCTTCACAAACCCCTTAAAATGTAACTTTCACAACCTTTTCTTTTAATTTTTTATGTTTTTATTATTTCAACACATCTTTGTTCTTCAATTAAAAGTATAGTTAGCTTAATTAGTTTAAGAAAACTTGGTTGTCCTTCGTTCGAAGGAAACAGCAAAACGGATTATTACAGGAGAGAATAAAAATATTTTTCATTTTTAGCTTTTAATTTCAATTTTCTACAAAAGCATTAATCTGTTAATTAATGTTTACCCAAAATGCAATAAATTATATATTATGCGTGTTAACCATAAATAAACCTACAAAAAAAAAAACAAACAAAAAGCAAACGAATTTCGAAGGGATTTGCAGTTGCAATTGGTTTTTGGGCTACTTTTTTAGCGGATAACGGTCTACGGTTATTATTATTAACCAACAATGGTGAACTTGAAATGGAGCTTAGCTAACAATTTGCTGTCTTTTTGCCAAATCATTTAACGAATCTTGCGCAATGCTCCCAGGCTGCTCGAAACTGAAAGCGAAATTCGCGCCACTCGAGAACCGAAGGTAACTAGGCCAACGAAATAGCCACAAAAAATCAGCCAAAATATATAAATATATATATAGTATAACAAACAGCAAATCTCAACCAGTCTGCCTTGCCTGTGTGAAAGCAACAATTTGAATTTTATTGAATAATATTCGTAATTCGTAATTACGGCCAAAAAGTTTGTCTTCGCAAAGTGACACGAGCGTGACGCATGCGCCCCCAACTCGATTTTTTGCGATATATTTCTTTTTTTTTTTCAGATTTCTGACTTGGGTTTTGGGTTTGATTTTTTTTAAATTATTTTTTGGGCGAACTCGCCCGCGGTTCATAATTGTTCATAAAGCGGCCGTTAGCATTGTTATTGCCGAGTTGCCAGCAGCAGCCTCTGGGCCGAAAACGAATTTTTTCGAGTGCTCACACACTCAGATCTTAATCGTTGCCGTGCGTGCGATTTTTTTGCGGTCCCAAGGTATTTGTTGTTCACTTTTCAGTTCATTTTTTCTTATATCTTTTTTGTTTTTGTCGTTTTTGCTTCTTTTCGATTCGATTTATTAAACAATTTCAATGGGTATACGCTCGTACACACAAGTGAATGATTTTTTGCACACACGCATCCCGCCACGCCGCCCACAGCGGAGCTAAGGTGCACTGGGAAAAAATTTTGATTTAATTAAATATAAATTTTAAATAACAATTAGCATTTTCTTAAAATTAATTAATAAAAATATGTAATAAAAAAATTTAAAGGAAATTTAAATTATTAAAAATATTTATGTAGTTTTGTTGTTACTTTAAGTTAATATTTTTTAGAGAAAAAAATTAAATTATGAATTTCAAATGTTGCTAAGAACATTCTAAGCAACACCCAAAAGTTCTGATTAAAGAAATAAAATCTTAAAAAATATAAAAACCCCTCTTAACCCATTAATTTTTTCGTGTGTACCCATTTCCATGCAAAGAAACCCGTTTTTTTCGGGGCGCTTGGCCAGCGAGCTGAACTAATTGTCGCACAATTTTTCACCGCGTGGGCAAAATCCAAAAGTGCAGCCACACACAAGATCTAGGTGGTCGATGGCCAACGGGAAGCATTTTGTGCGTACATTGCATAACAGCCAAGTCCCGCGAGGGAGCACTAAATATTATCCCCCATCCGCGCTCCTTCTAAATAATCACATAGCTGGGGTTCATGTGTTCGCTTGATTAAACAACTTCCTGGCACTCACTTTTTTTAACTGCCGAATTCCCTTTCTTAAATTTATGCTAATTAAACGTTACTCAAAACAGGAACAAAAAGTGAATAAAAAACCAGTCTCCTGCCTCGTGTATTTTCCAGAACAACGCGCACTCATTAAGTGAGAGTTCATCTCCCGTCGATCGGGATAAATATAAATTCCAGTGAATTATCGCCATCGAATTTGGGTATAAATTGTGGAGAGTTGATAACTCAGTTCATTGATGACATAATGCGATGAGTAAGGAGGGATCATTTTCAAGATTTTCAAAATGGTATAGGGAAAATTAACATTTTAGAATATAAAGTAAATAAGCATTACCTTTTTTCCTTTTAGTTATTAAGTAAACAAGCTGCGCCAATAATTATACAAGAAGGTTGAGAAGAACATGAACAACCATTTGACTTAATTTATTCAAGCAAACCTGACCTAGGATAAGTACAAAAGTCTTGAGAAAAACAGGTTCGTCTACTTATTGTTTGTACGTTAGAAAGTTCGTGATTATCATTTGAATATGAATCATTGTTAGGAGGATGTTGTTGAATAATTATGAAGACTTTAAGATTTTTAATAAGAAATCATATTCACTATACATCCCTAATAATCCATCAAATATTATTACAAAATCCTATACTTTCCTCATACATTTTCTCTCGGTGCAACCAACACTGACCTTAGACAAGTCTAAACTTTTTTTTTTTTTGGCAAGCTCTCGCATCCTTGGACAGCCTAAAAATGCCTCAGACCGCTCGCTCAATGATAGAATCCGCCTGCGGTTAGAACATAGAACGTGATGCTCGGCATACCGCCTCCTTGATCAACCCTGACCGTCATTTGTCGCTCGCCAGAATATACTCGCACATCTCGATGTAAGCTCTTTGCACGGCCACACGGGCGTATACTTGATTTCCGGAAACTGAACGCTCTCCTTCGACGCATTGCGCCGCGTCATCTTCAAGTTCAAAAGGCAAACCGATATTCGTATTTATAAATAAAAGTAACCTTAGCGGCTGGCGTACTTGAAGTGCTCGTAGAAATTTCCGCACCACATTATTAACAGTGCCAGTCATGTGTCGAGCGAGCAACCACATCATCATCATCAGTTCGTCGTATTGATGAAATGCCACATTGTAAGCCAAATTAAGTATACGCACCGTGGCTGTCTCAGTTGCATAAACAACAAAAACGGCAACGATGCTGACCTCAACACGTTCGTTCTCATCACCGCAGCGCAATTGGCTAAATCAAATAAATAGTCATACTAAAAACATCAGAAATCAACAATTACACTTCTATCTATCAGACGCGAGGCGAAAGCTAATGATAATTCTGTTGTTGATACAGGAATGGCCCAGAAATAACGTGGGATTTGTTTAGTTTTCGATTGACCATAAGTAGGCAGCATTTGTTAAGGGAAGCTATAACTGACCTGGGTTAATTAAGGGTTAAGTGGCGGAATTTTAATACAATAAAGAGTTTTTAAGGTGTGATTGTGTATATAAAATATAGAGTAAGGCCTTTTTTTTATAAAAATATATTTTAAAAATTTTAATTAATTTATTTTCAATTTAAAATAAAACAAATCCAAACTCTACATGAGAATAAATTGTTTACAAAAAAATTACTTGCCTAATTTACTTACTCGACATGTTTAATCGTGCTTTGACATGCATTTTCCTGAAAACTAAAGCCTACTTTTAGGCCTTTCCTTTTGAAAACAGTTGGCAGCGCTGTTCATTAATAGGCGGAAAATATAAAACACAGATTTAAGGCCACCTTAAATCCAAAATAATCACAAACAAGACATTTAGCCAAGAAATTAAATTTTAAAAAATAATTATATTTTAAATATTAAACCCAAAAATTAAATAAAACACCAGTTTCCATATATATTTTGATTGCTTTTGTGCTAGTTATTTTTATTTCGCTTTGTTATTTTGTAATACTTGTTGTCTTTCTTTTTTTGTTTTTTTTTTTTTTTTCTGGAGCAAACAAACAAATTCAACTACATTGGCTCGAGGGGAGTTTTGATTTATATCTTTAAAGTTTTTTTTCGGGGGATTTTTGCCTAAGACTAATATGTGTATATTTTAAATATAGCTTTCCACATCCATTAACTTAACATTCTTAGGTTTGTGTGTTTGTTTTTGTGTATTTTGTTGTCCGCTAATTAATTAATTAAGGTATTTTGACTAACAATTAAAATGTAATCGAGGTACTATTAAATTAGACATTCGCTAATGCTCATTATTTGCTCTGTTTTTTGTGCATGCAATTTGACTATTTGTTTCTTTGTTTGGGGGCATTCGCCGCTTTTTGGTCCCTCCTCCTCATCGATTCAGACCAGGCTAATGCTGAGGCCGCGGGGCAACCGCAGGCCGGCGAGTTGGAGAGGAGCTTGGTGGGAATCTCGGTGGTTGCGGTGACTCTGCGGTAACGGCAGTGGTGTTTCCTTCGCTTCCGCTTCCTGCACCACTTCCAGTTCCGCCAGTTCCTCCTCCTCCTCCTCCTGGTTGCCATTCTCCTTGTCATCCTCCTGGGTAACCTGATAGCTGAGGCAGCGTCGGGCTTTAGTGGTGTTGGTGTTGGTGGTGGGCAGGACTTCGGATATGGCGCTATCAAATTCCAGCAGGATCTCGTCTTCATCGAGGGCTCGCGTCCAGCGCGGCCTCTCTTTCAGAGGACTCATGATCTGTGGGACTGAGGAGGAGTTGGTGGATGCTGAGTTTGACGGCTGCTCCCTGCTGAGCGTGGTTCCCAATCGCCGGAACATGGCCACCACCTTGCCATCCACACTGGGCTGCGGGAATCTTTGGTAAGTCGGCGTGGGATTCTGGGCACTCAAAATGGGTGTAGGTGTTGAGGATGCCTCCTTGACTACTCTCTCTACTGGCCTCCTTCTGGGCGCCACACACTCCACCCGGCACAGCACATTGCTCCGTCGCTGACTCTGCCTGAGGTACACCTGGAACACCTGGCTCTTCTTCTTGGGACTGCGGCGCAGAGTCTCCAGACAGCATTGCCGCAGTATACGGTTTACCCGGCTCACGGAGGCACTGCGTCGACTGATCCTTCGCTTGGCGTAGGTTATGGGTGCGGGTACGGGTACAGGTGTGGGTGGATTCACGGGAACTTGGAACTGAGGCTGAGGCTGGGGTTGGGGCTGGGGCTGTGGCTGGGGCTGAGGCTGGACTCGCACCTGGGGCCGTACCATAGCCACAGGACGCAGCTTGGTGCCCTCCTGCTGCAGGACATTGTTGCCCATGTGCGAGGGACTCTGGCTCTGGCTTTCAGCCTCATTGCTGTTGACCGCCTGCAGAGAGTGCCAGTTGATCAGCCAGTTGTTGCAGCTGAAGCAGAGGAACTTGTCCTCGTTCAAGGGCTGTAAGTAAAAGAGAAAAGAATAAAGTTAGTTATGTAATGAAATATGGAATAAATAACAAGGAAGTAGTATTTTTTATATGATCACCCAAAAGTCAACCCAAATTCAATGGCGTGTCCTGTGAACTCCTGCCAAGCATAACCACAAAATA